AGCGGCGGATTAATCCACATTTGGTGCTCCAGAGTGAGCAGGACTCGAACTAAACGTCAGCGTTTAGTGATGAAGCAGCATGTCGGCCAGGTGGGAAACTACAGCTAAACAAAACACATCAGTTATTATTCAGGAGAGACTTGTGGATGAGAATAAAAGCAGAAAACCGACTCGGCCTTTAAACACCATCGGCATAGTTTTAAACACCGTATAATAGGCCGAATAAAACTGAAAACTGTTCCTTCCTGTTGCACATCGAGTTGTTTAATAGCATCGAAGCTAACATGAAGCAACAGTTTGCTTGGAGATGAAATGTCAAACGAACCCGAACCTTTGTGAACAAACTGCTCGTGAAAAACAACACAGCTTCTGGTATGAAGGTACAACTTTGTTTTATTGATAGTTTTCATATACAATATATATTTATAGAGTGTACATGAGGAGTTTCCACTAAAAACTAAAAAGTCATTCTGCGTCTTTTTTGTACAGCCATGCGATCGTCACGAGGGAATGAACACTTGAATATAGATTTAGATTTTTCAGTTGCATAAAAATACATCATCTCGTTTGTCTTGCGTAGAGAAGGAACTTATTTACAGTGTGAAAATAGTCGAGTGAACGCTTCTACAGATGTGCTTCTGGTTCCCTTTGTCGCCTCCGATAAAACCCTAGCAGCCCTTTTTAAAGTCGAGTCTCACTCTGGTAGATCGCCGTCGTTTTTCACCAAAATGGAATAGACTGTGGAGTTCCGGCGACGCGTTCGAGCTTTTGGGGAGAATACAAAAAGGGTGGCTCGCACCCTAAATTTAAAGTGCTTTTTGGCATCGCAGAACAATCACTAGTTTGTTGAGATTGCCTTCGATTGTTCAGTGATATTTGGTTAAAGTCAGAAAGCTAAAACCGTTTAGCGCAGCTGTTTAAAGTGAATATTTTATCCAGTTTGTTTGTAAAAAGTTTACAAAAGCAAACTCTGAAATATCGTACATTTTGAAATCGGGTTATTCTGATTGTTAGAAAACACAATAAAAACACTAGAAATAGCAGTTTGATGAACCCAAGGTCCGGTTCTTACACGTTCCCAGAACTTTCAACCGCTTCTCCTGATCTTCATGCAGGTGGAGCTTCAGTCAGCTGATTAACGGACCCTAATCCACCTTCGTTTAGACCAGGGATCTCCAAATCCGGTCCTCGTGAGCTCCTGTCCTGCAGGTTTTGGACGTTTCCGTGCTGCAACACACCTGACTCACATGAATGGATCTCCAGCAGCTTGTTGTCAAGTTCTACACAAGTGTGTTAATGATCCATTCATGTGACTCAGGTGTGTTGGAAACGTCTAAGACCTGCAGGACAGGAGCTCATGAGGACCAGATTTGGAGATCCCTGGTTTAGACCCATTTTGCACAGGATTAGTTTTACTTGTGGACCTCTTTGAATTCATGATTTTGTTACTGCGGGAATCTGCAACGTCTGTAGTTTCTAAAGCTAAAGTTTCAGATTACTGAACATGTTTCAGCAAACACAGACGTCCGGTGATGATATTAGTTCACGATTCGGGGTCATTTTCATTCAATTTTTGCAAATGTTTTTTGCGTTTTTCCTGCTCGGGAATTACAGCGGCTGCTTCTCGATTATAAATAATGTCAAGTAAAATTTAAGTAAAACGCTGCGAGTATCTCGTGCGAATGCGCCGCGTGAAACCCAGACGTGGGCGTAAACTCTGAAGCACCGGAGTCTGGTGCCATTAAAGCTGAAGACGCAGCTGAAAGTTGTGGAAACGGATAAAATTCAGACCTCGGTTTAAGATTTGTTCTCATGAATAAGAATATTTCTAGTTCTCTACTTTAGATGTGTGGTTGGAATCTTCTCCACTATTAATGCATTAATTCAGTCGATGGAGACAAATAAACACCTCGTATGAAGCAGGATGTCTTTTAGGTTCTTGAAGAAGCGAAGTTAGGACATCTTCAAGAACCTAACAGGGAAGATCATGCAGATAATGTTCTGTAAAGATGTTGTCCAAGTGTTGGGTGACAGCACTGTTGGACTGTTATGCCGCAACGTTCTTAGAAAGTTTCCCAAACACTGATTCATGTAACAAGGTTCTATAGGAGAACATCAGGCTGAATGTTTGTTAAAATGTCACTGGAACGTTTTTACAAAGAACGTTCTGTCATCTGAGGCCTCGGTAACATCTGGAAAATGTTTCTGAACGTTGCTTTGAGAACGTTCCTCCCGAGTTACCATGAATGTCAAAACGTTCCGTCTTAGTTCTGTTTTTTAACCTCACAGGAACATTTTTGGAACATTCTGAGAATTTTCTAGCAATGTTGTCAGCTAGAAGTTAGTTTTTAGCTCTTCCTAAAGGCAGGATATTGTTTTCCAAAAATGTTCTAAAAATGTTCGTCCAGTTGGCCTCAACGTTCTTAAAGCTGTATCTTGCATTGAGAACACTCTTCCTTTGTGTTTATGGAACACTGTGGGACGAACTGAATGTGTTTCCTCCAAACATCCAGAGAATGCTTCATGCCAAGCGTTCCATCTTTGTTAATATATCACATTACAAGAACGTTTAATCACCTGCTGTTCTGTCTTAGTTTGCGTTTACCTCACGGGAACATTTGAAAAGATAAATATCCTCAAAACGTTCCTTGAACATTAGACTGAAACGTCCAGAACCAATGTAGTTCTAGACATTACTAGAACTTGTACATAATGTTAGCTAATGTGGCAACGCTCCCTGCGAGTTGGAACAGTGGTCGGAACCAGAAGGACCACAACATACCTCGATACCTGATCGTTTTCATCGATCTGATTTGTGATGCTTATTTGTCTCAGTAAACAAATACAACACATTAATGGCTAGAAACAAACAGAACATGTGATTAGAACCCCAGAACGGTTCTCCGATCAGCGGCCGACGGGACAAACGGCCGAATCTGAAGCAGCTGTTGCTTCTCGAATGGTGAAATCTCAGCGTTCTGCCAGAGTGAAACGTGGCTTTAATACTGATAAAACCGGTTTCTCGCTACATGAGGACAAACAGAACGTAGGCGGTGAGCTCGTCACCAGGCGGAAGAAGATAAAAAAAAGTTTGTAATAAACTCACAGTAGGAACGTCCAACGGAACGCTTCAGTCTCTGACGCTTCAGGAGGAAAGTTGGAGCCAGAAGATAAAAACTGAAACAACACAGTGTGACTGGAGTTCTAAAGACTTCTGAGTGCTGTCAGAGGTTCTAGTCCCGGCAGGAACCGTTTGGTTCCAAAAACATTCAGACAAAGTTCTGCTACCAATGCTTTCACTATAAGGTTTTCTTTTAGTTCCCAGAATGCTCTCGTAAAGGCAGGATAACTAAAGACGTTCTAAAAATGTTACACCGTTACGACCTTACATTCTCAAAAGTGAATGTTGCACTGAGAACATTTTTTTCTTTTGTTATTATGGAACATTGTGGGAACGTTTTATAGATTTCGGGTTTTACAGAACATCCCCAAAACATCACAGCCAGAATGTTCCACCTCTGTTAATATATGGCAGCACAGGAACATCCTGCAAAGAACGTTCTGTCATCTGAGGCCTTGATAACAAATCGTTGGTTTGAGAACGTTCTTCCTTTGTTATCATGGAACATTGTGAGAATGTTTTAAAGAAGAACATCCCCAGAACACTGCAGGCAGAATGTTCCACCGTTGTTAACTTACACAAACGTTTTCTCAAAATCATCTTGAGGCCTCGGTGACATCCGGAAAACATTTTATGAATACTGGTTTGAGAACGTTGTTTCTTTGTTATCATAGAACCTACCTGACAACATCGTCTGAACGATGAAATAAAAATGTCATTTTAACTACATGGGAACATTTTAGGAACTTTAAATATTCTAAAAACTTTGGGGATTTGATTGAAGCATTTTCTTTGTGAAGTCTTTAGAACTTGTCGGTAACGTTAGCCGATGTTTTGGGAGCAGCTGGGAGAACCGGACTCTCCGATCCCGAACCCGACTTGCACCGATTCGAAAATTCTAAAGAACATTTAAAGAACACTCTCCTTCTAACGATCCGCTGCAGGCGTAGAAGAATTTTTGGCTTGAAAACGTCCTTCGAGGCAGAAACTACAACGTTCTCGTCACATTTGGATCCGGCTACATGAAAACTGTTTGTCTCTTCATACGTGGACGCCGACAGAACGGGTGTTGGATGTGCAAAGTTCAAAATAACACGTCTTAAAGCTACAGTTTGTGTCTGTACAGCGACATGAGTTTGGCAGCTTGTTGTTACCTCCGAGGAACGTCACGGTTCAGAGTCCGTCAGCTGCTAAGAACCTCAAAACCTGCAACGGGAGGTTTAGCTTTTAGCTTCTTCAGACCATTTCTGTACAAAAACTCAAATAATGTTCTGGTGCTGATTTGAAAAGACAGTTTGTCGAAACACGAGCTGATACGATACGTTTGCCGATGACGCTTTGCTTTACACGATTAAAGAACGGACAGAATTTTAGGTATGTCAGGACTTAAAGTAGCTGATTTTGACTAATTAAGCCACTTCGTCCTCTTTGTGGATATAAAACTTCTGCAAAGTTTAACCATTAAACTTTGAAAAGGTAAATCTGATATCAAGTAACCTGTTTGAACCTACTTTTTCGTTAACGAACAACACGTGCGTAACATCAAGCACCAACTTAAGAACCTAAATGTCCACTCAGACTCATAATTTCAACATGAAAATCATTTTCACCACGTATCAAGAGTTGGATCTTTGTTTTTATCACTTCATAAACTAGAAAATTCCGTCAGCAGCCAGAAAAAAACGGAACTATTTTCTCCACGTTTTTGGGAACAAATGAAACAAACCTTTAAAAAAAATGTTTCCGTCTGTCGGTGCTGCTGAAGTCGAGTCGACCTTTAATGGAAACAATTTCAACTAACAGAAAACAGGAAATTATTTACAGAGAAATCGTTTTTCCTGTTAAAAGCTTTTTGAAATTGTATGTTTACTTATGCAAATGAGGCATTACCTTGATAAAAAATATACTCATTTGCATAAATGTCCAATAAACAAAACAAAACAAACGGACGCGTATGTTGGATGTTTTCTTTCGAGTTGTGGAAGCAAAACAGATTCTCGTTTCAGCAACTTTGGCTTCTTTTGTTCAATAAAAATAGATTCTGTAAGTACGGCGTCGTGACGTTTTTTCGGTAAAGTTTTGGCATCAGCAACATTATCTGAAAATTTCCGACCGTGAGTGTTTTCTGTGTTTTCATATCAGCCTGTCGCACACGTATCGGTGCGAGCGTATACGACAGCTTTGTTTTATGACAGAATATGATCCAGTAAAAGGTGCTGGTTCAGAAATGGTGCGTCTGCAGCACATGTAGCAGAGCAGACGGTGGTGCCGAGTCAAGCGGCGTCTTCAGTCAGCTGCTGACGAGTTTGTAAAATACTGGAGATTGTAAACAGTAACCTCAGTTTGTGATTTTCAGCTCAGCTCGAACATATTAATTCATATGTAGACGTGAGTTCTGACTCCTGACTCCACTTCCTGTGCTGCTGCTGCTGGATGTTTTAAAGCTGAGTTTTCACTCCTGACTAAAACTCTGAAGCGGGACAGATTCTCAGACGGTAACACTCAAGAAATAAAGCAAAAGAGAAAAGAAAAAGCATCAAAACGTAACTCCTACACGTCGAGGACACGATCATGTAACAGAACGATCAACGTGGTCTAACTGTGCAAAGAAAGTGTTTCGCTATGAACTCGGCAGAGTCGAAGCAGCGACTCGAACTCTCCGATTCCCTCTTCAGCGGGAGAATAAAGACACTTCAATGGAAACAGCTTATAGAGACTCTATGTACAAACACATCTCACAGGCGAAGGTCAGATGTTGGTGAAACCTCAGATCGGATGTTTGAATGTTCAGGCACAACGATGGGTGAAAGTACAAAACTGTACAATGTGGTGAAAGTGCAAAAGCTGGAAGCAGGACTGCAACCGTCCGACCCTCGGCCGACGAAATCGGCTTTGTGCTCACAACTTCTATCAAGGCAAAACGTCGAAATCCGGGTGGGTGAGCTGCAGCTTATTGGAGAAATACGTTTGAAGAACAAACCTAACATTTAGCAGCGAGCCTCTACAGGTGCACCGACGCTTCACTCCGGTAGCATTAGGTCTGTGGTGTCCGGCTGGTTTGGTCGAGTTCTTCCAACTTTGGACGGGTTCAACCCGCTTGTTGTAACTGGAGGTTTACTGGGAGTCGACTCATGAGTTGATGTATGTTTTTAGAAATCAGATGAATACGTGCGGCTGCTCTGCTCCCATAAACAACCAGGTTACAGGGATTTAATGAACCGGGAACACCAGCTTTAATGCTGATGAACGCTCACTTTGTTTTTAACCGTTTGATTGGTTGAAAATTCAGAACGTTTTCAGTCTCCAAACATCTTCTCCAGGTCCTCAAACTGATTTCTGAGTCACTCTGAACACATTTTAGGGCCGTTTGGACAATTTGTGAGTCTTTTTTTGGACACGTTTCAGGTTATTTTGAACGTATTTTAAGTGATTTCGAATGAATTTTGAGGCCTTGACAGAAATCCTGTGAATAAAGGAAACTCAAACCAACCAGGTTACATTTAGACTCAATACGCTGCGAACAGGAGCTTTTCATGTGGATTTAGGATTCATTCAGGCTGTAGGTAGAGTCGTCACGTTCATCTTAACCTGTGATTCTTGGTTAAATTTCTTGGGTTAAATACAGTTTTGATTCATTTTGAACCATTTCTGACACATTGCGAATACGTTTCAGTGCATTTTGGATCATTTGTGATTCTCTGAAGTGATTCTGAACAGATTTGGAATCATTTTGAGGCGTTCTGGAGACGTTTTCGTCATTTTAAGTAACCGTCTCGTCAATCCCATGAACAGGTGCAGCTGCTTTGCTCCCAGTTTGTTCTCATTTCAGCAGAAAACAACCGACTGGTTGAAGCGTTGCTACGACTTCCGTCCACCCAGATTCTCTTTGGTTCACTACAGACCTAATCGTGCTCCGTCAGAGGCTCTTTTGCTTTCAAAATAAAGCCATTGAAATAGAACCGGGACCACCTGGAGGTGGACAACATGGCCGACACGTTATCAGTTTGTAACGCGGCAGATATGTGCAAAATCCCATCAAGTAAACTGATGTTTCAAAGTCTGCTTCAGCTCAGAACAGCTTTTCTTCTAATCAGGGTTAAAAATAAACCGATTTTTCTGATTGTGTGTTTTTAAAAACCAGCTTTCCGATAATATAAATGAATTTAAAAATGAGCCACTTTGGCTCTGACGAAGGATAAATAAGGAAAAGTTCACTTTTTATTAAATCTGTGTAACCTGTAAACGACATTTCAGCAAAGTGTCGGAGTTTGTGTTGTTCAAAATTCTGCAATTCGACTGCAAATTTAAATCAGTGCCAAAGTATCGGTCATCGGTTTCCTCGATGGCTAATAATCGAATGATAGTCGGATTTACCATCGACCCTGAAATCAGAGTCCAGAGACGCTGATCCTGGTGTCAGAAAACCGCAGAAGGACTCATGAAGTTCTGTTTTCTGGGGATTGGTACCGTGTTTAAACTGTCCTCAACCAACCAGACCTACTGATCTTCATGTTTCTGGAGAACGAGTAAAAACAGGCCGAAGACGGTCGGCGAGAAAAAAAAAAGAAGTATAAATGCACCTCAGAGGAGGAAGATTCAATATGTACATTTGCACCCTGCAGGCGGAGGAAGGTATTCACATATAGATACACTATTCACACTCAGACGAGCTGCTGCTGCTTCACACTTCTGTCCTGCTACGGTGAAAACATCCACGTCAGCGGACCTTCGACCAGAGACTGGGTCGAGGCGGCGCTGAAACGAACACGTCTTTGACGAGGGAAACTTTGTTCAGCGGCAGAATTTCACGTTTGGCTGAAAAAACACCTGAAAGAGAAACCAAAGAGCTTCGTGTGACCGCGGGTCTGGACGACGACGTTTTCAGGTTCTTCTGCGCGTTTGGGAATGATAAACCGTCTGGAGTCCAGGTTCTCCTCCGCAGATCCATCAGCCGAACTTAAAGCCGAGGATTCCTTCCATCGGTGATGCGGAACCAACAGAGTCCTGCTGAAGTTCTGCTTGGATCCCAAAACATCTCATCGTCTCGGTAACAACCCGAAACCTCGTCAGAACCTCCGAACATTTCAGAATTGAGATTGTAATTCGTCTGAGAAGTAAAACGAGCCGGTTCCAGGTTTCCGACTCGTTCTTCTCTGTAATTAACCAAAATCAGCTTGTTCAGGTTTACCTACAGTTACCCACAATCCCCCTCTCTCGGAGTCCAGCTTCACGTCCGATCGCGATGCTGATGACGAATCTTCTTCTCCAGATCAGAAACTTCCGGAAAAAAATATACTTCTGGAGCTTTTTTATTTATTGCAAAAAATAAAAACTATCCAAACGGAGCAAAGTGAACCTCCGACCGTCTGTCTGTCGGGTGAGGCGGCGGCTAGGAGGCGGGACTTACAGTGACGCTGGCAGGGGATTGGAGCAGAAACAGGAAATGCTGCTGGTGGCCGGCGGGTCGGGCCTCAGTGTCCCGGGTGCTGGTGGGAGGTGAAGGGGGTGAAGGACGGGGGCGGAGACAGGGACAGACGGCCGGACTGAGGGCTGGCGCCTCCTGCTGGGGGGGAGTCGGCCGCCGCCTGGGAGACGCTGGAGGGGAGTCACATGATCAGAGCACATGTTGTACATGAACACATCTGTAATAAATATCAGGTTAATCTGACTTATAATTAGATTTACTAATTAGGTATTATAATTAATCAGTTATCACTATTATCTACTGGGAGACAGTGGAGGAGAAGCAGGTAGAAGAAGTTTTCATCTTTTATTTGTATTAGTAAAATAAATTAAATACAACCTGTTTGAAGCTAAACTACCTTTGTAGTCTGGGTTTTAAATAATTTAATTAAGCAGATGTATTATTATTATTATTATTATTATTAATAATTATTATTATTTACTGAGATACACTAAGAAGGAGGTCGAGATGGGAAAAGATGACAAGTTTTCATGTTTTATTTGATATTAACACCCTTAAATAAACAAAAACACACATTAAATACAAACAGTTTAAAACTGAAACTACCTTCTGAGTTCGACTTTTAATTCATGTTATGAATTCAAGGAATTATTATGATTATTATGATTTTTTTTACTGGGAGACACTGAGGCAGAGATCATCGTTTGTTTTTAAAAAAAATAAAAATAAAATAATTACCAGTAATATTGTGTAAAATAACCAAAGTATTAATATACATGTTGAGTGCTTTTAAAAAAACAACAACAAAACAATAAAAAGAATGAAACACACATAATGTCCACATCAAAAATCTGGATTTTTACAAAATACTAATTTGTTCTTTTACACTGTGCGACCGTATAAACAGTTTAACTGTATTTAAATTAACTACAAATATCATTTTACAGATACTTGCCGTCATTTTCACAGATTTCAACCATGTTTTTTTTAAGAATTAATTATGAATAAATCATCATTTTTTCATGGGGTTTGGTGCGTTTCATACGGCTGTAGTTGACATGACAGGTGATTCTTACCTGACTGTGTAGCTGCTGCGGAGGGCGGGGTCTGTTACCCCGGCAACAAATAGCTTCTTCGGGGGTCCGTCAGACTCCACCCCTCCTGAAAAACAGAGCACAACACATTTATATCAAAGTAAAATAATCTGTGTTCACAGTTTGTCTCTACTGCCCCCAACAGGCTCAAGACGCTACTGCAGGTTTTAATGTAAACTCAAAGTGTGGATTACCTTTCCTCTTCAGCGGCGTTAACGCCGGCCATCTCACGGTGGCGCTGACTGCAGGTCTGTCGGACAAACAACACAAACGTCAGCACGAAGCAGCAGATTGAAGCTTCCAGTAAATACGGAATGAAAGCGTTTCTATAAACCTGAACCTCCTGGTGGGACTCGGAGACGAGTTGGGAGTGACGCCGCTGTCCTGAGACGGAAACCACTGAAGAAGAAACAACGACAAAAAAAAAGAGTCAGTCTGAACAGTTTTCTGGATTATTCAGTCTAAACCCTCTGATCTGGAGTCAGTATGAATCCTCTAATCTAGATTTATTCTACAGAACCTGGTTTAAATAGTCTAAAACCTAATCTGGATTTAGACTGAATCCAAATCATGAATTCAGACTAAATTCTGAGTTTAGAGTGAATTTTGATCTAGATTCAGTCCAAACCCTATGATCTGGATTTACACCAAAACCTTCATCACGCTTTAGTGTAAAGTCTCTGATCTGAATCTGATGTTAAGAGCTTTTTCAAAACGAATCTGAATCTTGATTCACGCCAACCTTCTTATGTTGATTTAGACTTTAGAAGAGTTTAGATCAAGCTGAAACCTGATCTGGATTCAGACAGAACAGTCTAATCTGGATTCAGTCCGAAGAGTCTGGTTTACAAAGTCTGAAAGATCTATGATCTGGACAAATAAATCCGACTAAATCCAGTGGTTTAAGAGCGAACCCAGATTACAATCTGATATAAAGCTTCTAATATGGATTCATTCTAAATCTTCTGATCCAGGTTCTGCACAAATTCTCTAATGTAGACATAGTCAAAAGAGTCTGGTTTAGATAGTCTGAAACCTAATCTGGATTCAGAGCAAATTCAAATCAGAGTTTCAGACTAAATCCAGTAGGTTTAAAGATCAGGATTCAGTATGAAGCCTCTAATCTGGATTCAGTGTAGACAACTGGATTGATCTACATGCAGTCTCAATATTCTAATCTGGACTCTGGATTAATAATCTAATCTGGATTTAGTCTAGTCTGGTTTAGATCAGTCTGAAAACTAATCTGGATCCAGACTGATTCGATATCAGAGTTTCATACAATAGCCAGTGGGTTTAAAGTAAATCTAGTCCGGGATCCAGAATAAACCCTCTAATCTGGTCCAACTCTAAAATCTGGACTCACTTGAACCGACTTTGATCTCGATTCAGTCTAAATCCTTTGATCTTCCCACCTGATCTGGATTCAGTCTAATGTTGATCTAGTATTACAAGTCTTATCTAGATCCGGCCAAAGTCTAAATCCTGTCGCCTGGATTTAATCTGAACAGTCCGATCTGGATTCAGACCATAATCCAGATCAACATCCCAATGACACAGTGAGACCACATCCGTCAGTTTTAGTGTCTTGATTCTCGCAGGATGTTAAAAAATGTTGAAGAATCTCCGTCTGTCTCTAACTGCTCTGAACACTACGATACCCATGAGCCTCGGCGGTCTGGAGAACCACACAGAGCCGGCGTTTAGATGCTCACCACTGATGGATGGTCGTGCCACTGACCGACTGGAGGGACTGGGATCAGACTGGAAGGACTGGGAGACAGAAAGCGACAGAGGAACGGTTAACAGCAGCTGGACTAAACGCTGAACAGCTGTACGTTTGCTGTAATGTTCCTCACCTGAGTCTCTGCAGACTCCCTCTGAGCGCCATCTCCATGTTCTCCTCCTGCATCAATGCAAACGGCAGCTTTAGCCTCCATGGTTTCCTCACAACAGCAACATCATGAAGCCACACAGCTGTTCCACTGAACTCCGTCAGTGGTTGTTTGTTTTTGAATCCTAACAAACGTCTTCCATTTAAATTGAGATTCAAACCTATTTTCTAAGTCTGCTTCATCGTCTATTATCCTCTAAACGGGACCATAATTTACTAAACGAACACGATTGTTAATGGAAGGACGCTTGAAACTAGAGATTGAGTTGATAAACTCTTCGCAAGAATATTTACTGATTTAACAAATCGAGCGAGAAGTTGGAACATTCTCTCATAGACATCATACTTCTTTCGTCAGTCGGAGGAGTCGCCCCCTGCTGGCTGTGAGACACGGTGCAGTTTTAAGGTACTTCAGCTTTGAGAACATGTTTAGATGTTTACAGTTTTGTCAAACAGGAACCCGCTGATGATTGATTAGAAAAAGAAAATAAACAACGTAACAGTGCAGCTCACAGCGCAGACAAACAATAATGATCTTTGTTATGGTGGTTTTTTTGTTTCTGCGTCAGAAAAAAAGAAAAAAAACACAACATTCAAGAGAGGATAAAGACTGACGATCCTCACCTGTCTCTTCTGGTCGAGTCGATCTCCGGTCAGAGAGAACGGAGATAAAGGGACGAGCTGACGACACAAAAGGATGAACAGCATTCAGTAAACAACAGGAGCTAAAAGAGGCAGAAGTGTTCTGCAGAAACGCTGATGACTCTCTGGTTTCATCCGCTGAACTAAACTTCTTTTGGACGTGACGACACGTTCAGAGGAAACCGAATGTCTGATGCTTTAAAGGACTAAATCAAAGTTTTTTCAGGTTTTCAGAAACATGTTTTTCTTGCTGTTATCGTTCCTCCTGTTCATACTGAACATTTGTGAAGCTAAAAGAAGCTTGAAAAGTCTGAGTTTGTCACAGATGAGGAGGTTCCTCCAACGTTACGGCCTTTTGTTCTTTCCTTTAGTGTAAATTTAAACTAAAATACTGTAAATTTAGAAGATTTCTATCTGATTTGAAAAAGCCAGAGCAGTGAGTTTGACCACCGATGTTCCCTGAACACCTCACATGCATCAGTAGGCTCTACAATTCACCAAGATCCATAAACCCGTCCCTTACGTCAGATGTTCCCTAAACACCACATGTGCGTAAGTACAAGCTACAAGTCAGTGATGTTCCCAAAATGTTTCGCGTGCATAGATAGATTCTACAATTTACTGACGCTCTATAAACTCATCACATACATTGGTAGATGCCACAATTCACCGATGTTCCCCAAACACCTCACATGCTTCCATTGATACAACAATTCACAGATGTACCCTAAACCCCTCACAAGCATCAATAGATCCCACAATTTACCGATGTTCCCAAAATGCCTCATGTGCTTCTGTAACACCAAAGTTTCCTAAAAGCCACATGTGCACAGATAGATTCTAGTTTACCGATGCTCTTTAAACTCCTCACCTGAACTGGCAGAAGCTGTTATTAAACAGTGTTCCCTAAACGCTGCACATTCTTCAGTAGAAGCTGCGACTCACCAAAGTTCCCTGAATGCCTCACATGCTTCTGACAACAATACACGGATGTTCCCTAAACACCTGCCAACGTTGGTAGAAGCTACAATTCAACAGTGTTCCCAAAATGCCTCACATGCCTTGATTGACGCAGCAATTCACCCGTGTTCCCTAAACCCCTCACAAGCATCACTTTCAAGCTACGATTCACAAATGTCCCCTAAACGCGTCACACGATTCAGTAAACGCTACAGTTTACAGATGTTCCCTAAACGCCTGACATGCTACGATTCACCAATGTTCCTTTAACACTCACAGGAATCAGTGGATACAACAATTCACAGATGTTCCCTAAATGCCTCACAAGCATGAGTTGATTCTATAATTTACAGACGTTCCCTGAACACGTCACATGCGACACTACGGTCTGTTGTTGTTCCCTAAACTTGTCACTTTGACAGGTAGAAGCCACAGTTTACTGATGTTCCCTAAATCGTTGGAGGATACAAACAACACTCAGAACTGTGTGAAACATTTGATTACGAGCTCACCGCTGGTCAATTCATGAGCTTTCAAGGTCTGACTGTGAATCGGTTCCCTCCAGAGTTTGTCAGACAACGACGTGTAGGTTTGGGTGTGACGCAGCTTTAAAGCAGAACTGATCCAGATCAGATGTTCTGTGCGTATTAAAGGTGGTTTTTCCCACCTGAGAGCTGCAGTTTCTCACCTGCGAAGGGCAGCTGGGGTTGATGGAGACGCTGCTTCGTCGGTACCGAGCCGAAGACACGGGACTGAAGACGGTCATCCCGTCGCTGAGAAACACAATCACATTCACCGACTCGTTCAAAACAGAAACATAAAGGACTTCATGTCTTTACCTGCATGCAAATATCAGACATTTATATGACATCACTGGATAATTAAACATTACATTTTCATATACTGGGGATGAACAGGGTTTTTGTTGCTGCAGAGTTATAAAATTAAAACTGGAACATGTCTGAAGTTCAACAACATCCTCCAAAAGGGATCAGAAAGTGGATTGAACATGTCCATGAAATCAAATGACTGTAGCCTTTAAACAAACAAAGCAGCAAAAGATGTTAGAAAAAACCAGGGCAAACACGTTTAAAAGAGAGATTTATTTTTTAAGCTCTGCCCAGTGTCAACACAAACTAAGGAATAAGTGATGTATTCAGAAAATATCTTTAAATGCTGTTAAACTGAATGAGTGCGGTTTGGGGTTATCTGAATGGGGTTCGGTGTTGTTCATGACTCTGGTTGGCTCTAAATTGTAGAAAAACAAGATTTGCAATTTTTCTTTTATGCACTACTTTTATAGGACTTTATTTAGACTTTGGCTCTTTTCAAAGTGCTTCTTAAGTAAGTTTGACTTATTATGAGACTAGTTGGAAGAAAGGGCAAACAGATATAAACAAAGACTGCATTTTATTTACATGCTGCTGGGTGTGACACCGAATTTAAAAAGATTTAAGACATTCAGAAAACAATTCTTAATCGTCTCAGGTTAAATGTCTGCGTCTAAAAATGAGCTACACTTTTAATTCTGTCGTTTTTTGAACGGGGCTCTGTGCTCGTGTCGCTGCAGTACCACTGACCTGACACTGGTGATCATGGGGGCGCTGTTCGACCTGCGGAGAGCCCCGCCTCCTGCCCCGCCAGCTGCGCCTGCGCACTGGTCCACTTCCATCCGTTCCATACCTCGGTGCGCAGGCCCGGCGGTGACGGCGCCAACTGCCGGCCTTCGACCTGCCGACGGCGGCGTCGCGCTCTACTCGAGCCCGGTGGAAGCCTGACCCGCAGGCCTCACTGGCCCCAAACCCGGAGCCGCCGAGTCAGCGGGCTGAACAGCGAAGCTGCCCGCTCTCTACCGCATCTCCCTCCGACAAACACCTTATCCGAGTGTGTCTGCGGGCCGGTCCGTCATGTAGCACCCGCAGCTACGCTTCACTTACGGCGGTCTGCCCGCAAACTAACGACCGCGTTAAACCGAGTTAAAACAGCGCGCTAACACAGCGGGACAAAGTTTGCTAACGCCGGATGTGTGACGCTCCGCCGGCCGCTCCGACTCCACCGGAGAACTTTTAATTCCGAGTCCGCGCAGCTGACGTGACTTTTCGGATTAGCTGTTGAGCTAACTTGGTTTGCAGTAAAACCTCCAGACATCAGAAAACCGCTAAAGCAGCCGCCGGAGACGGTCCAACCCGGGCCGGGCCGGCCGTAGGCGGGGACCGGCGCTCACACGGGCCCCGAAACCACCGAGCGGAGCCCCGGAGAGCCCGAGAAACGGTGCAAAGAAACAGTTTGAAAGATTTTTACAACATAGTCCTTCAGCAAATAGAGGTAGTTGAGCAGCCGCGGAAACAGCGCCGCCGGCCGGCCGCGGACGGAACTGCGGGAGCGGCGGCGGAGAGAGAGTCACGGCGGCCTGCAGGAGGGAACCGGGACCGAGTCGTGACCGTTAAAACGACACAAAATCATAAACAACAAGAGTTGAGTTTATTAAATTCATACAAGGAATAACAAAACATAAAAACACGTTTCCAACAGCTGTTAGCATCAAACAAACCTCCGCTCCCTGATGTTTACATGTTTACATGTTTACATGTTTACACCAGACTCTGCTCATCAGTGTGGACCAATGTCC